AGATGAGGAAGCATTACTTAAGTTAGTCAAGATGAAGAGGATTTGAGAAGATCTTCATAAGGCCTAAGAAAGCTAGGTGATTGGTCAGCACAGTGGCAAATTAAATAATTGTTGATAAATGCAAGGTTATGCTTATTAGACAGAACAATTTAAACTAGTCATGCATGTTCAGGAAAAGTATTGAGGTATCACTGAAAATGTCTCCTCATTGTGCAGTTGTAGTTAAAGGAGCAAGCAAAATGTTTGAATGGCTGCAATAATACTGAAAATGCTATAATGCCATTATAGAAGTAGATGACATGCCTCTCACCCATAATTCTACATTCCGTTCTGCTCAATCACAAAACTATATCGGAGTTAGGAGAAATTCAAAAACAGACGACAAAATGATTAGCAGGCTGGTAAGAACTCCTTATGAAAAAACTTAAAAGAATTAAATTGCTTAGTTTAGAGAAGAGATCATAAGAGGTTCCTTTTATTCTTTCTTGTAATAAGAGAATATGAGGGTACTGAATTCAGCTGGTAGAAACAAATTAAAATTGATGAGAGAAATATTTCAACTGCCATCTAATAGGGACTTGCTAAAGTTTAAATGAGTAGATCTGTTGAAGCCAATGGGTCTACAAGCATGCTTCAGACGAAGTTATACAAAAGTTATTTCAGCGACAGGGACTTCCGAATTCATTGCCACAAGATGTCTTTTCAGAGCAAGAGCACTGCAGGAGTAAAATAAAGCTGAGGCAATTATACAGACAATGAGAACATCACAGTGTTATTAAATAGGATAAAAAAATAAGGTCCTCATGCTCCGAGGCATAAGCTAGATATGATTCAGGAAGAAATTTGCTCTATAGACAGGCTACATTACAAGCTATCCACTACAGGGTTTATTGCTTCTTCCTGTGACAATGGAAGTAATCCTTGTCAGAGAGAAGAGGCTAAACAACTGTAGATGGACCATCCAGTGTGTCAGTAACTAAGTTCTTTCCAGCAGTCCGAGGCCAGGACATGAATGATGGTTAAAATCCCTTTGTCAGGGGTCTCAAACTAAATTTACTGTAGGGCCAGTGCCAGTCCTCAAATCCTCCTAGGTCTCTGCCCCCCATGTATGCCCTTGCCCTGCCTGCCAGCTCCGGGTGATTCCCCGGGGCTCCTGCTGTCGCAGTGTGTGTGGAGGGATCCCAACCTTGCTGCTGCCCTGTGCCAGGCTCCCTGGTCATCTCGAGGCCATGTCCCTTGGGGGAGGGAGCTTGGAGGAAGAGATACAGTGGAGGAGAGGGAAGAGCAGGGGTGGGAAGAACTGGGATGGGGACAGAGCAAGGGCTGGGCTCGGGGGAAGGATACACACACACCTCACAGGGCTGTAGGGACTCGTGCTGACAGCATCATGCAGGGCAGTTGTGGAACTGCTTGGGCCATAAATGGCCCATGGGCCATGAGTTTGAGATCCCTGCTTTATATTAAACTTGTCATTCTGTTTTTACCAGTACTTATATTTTCAAACTAACTTATTTATTGGAATTTTTTAAATACTACTGTAAGCATGCTAGCCAGTGCTCTGGGAACTTATTTCACCCATTTCCTATTATTTAAATAGGAATCCCTGAATTTGGTTCTAGTGAACAAGAATTTTTCCTTTTTCTTTTGTGTAATCTACAAAATTGTAACTTCGTATATTTTATTTCAATATAGGGATGTAAGTGACTAGTCAATGAGTCTCTCCACTAGTCGCTTCCCCCCCTTGCTGCCTTTGTCAGAGGTAGCAAGGGGGGGAGCTGGTGCTGGGGAGAGCCAGCTTAAAAGCCAGTTCCTTCCAGCACCATCTCTGTGGGGAGCAGGGGAGGCAGGGAGGTAGTCAGGAATCAGCTGATTTCCAGCTCACGCCCAGTGTGCACCTCTGCTTTTTTAAATGTATTAAGAGCCTGCCAGCTCCCCCGCCTATTGACTAGTCAATGGAAAATCCATCGACTAGTCGATTAGTTGATTAAACTAAATTTAACATCCCAATTTCAAAATAAAGCAAGTCATGGTCAGCTGGGTGATGCTGGTATTATCTGACACACGAGAAATTCACATGGGACAGACCTGTTGCCCTCTCTGAACTCTGTGGAAACTGCAGATGTGGAATTTTGAGCCCCTAGGATAAGAAATTGGGCTTCCACACAAACTTTGCCACCAGACAGAAGCCATGGCTTTGACAGCCTTCAAAAGGAGTCATAAATGGTTAAATATAGGAGCCGGGAGACATCGATTGGGGATTCTAAACATGCAGTCTGGCACAGAGGAACTCAGTGGGTCGGAGACAAAGTTGCCATACTGAAGGTGCATGCATTGCGACTATTAGCATATCAGTGCCTCCTTATAAAGAAGAAAGTCGCTTCTATATCTCAGGAGTGTAGATAATTAAATGTGTTGGCATTTTCATTACAAAATCTTATTTATGAAATATTACACAAATGTTCTGTTGTAAACAGGGGTTTTTTTTTAAACCCCTCTTTGGTTGCAACAAGGAATTGGTTTCAGCATTAGCTCTTAATTTCTTAATTTTTGTTAATTTCAACTTTTAACATGTTAAAATTATTTCTGGCTGTAAATAATACATTTTCTGTTACATTGAGAATGTCATTTTGTAAACTTGGTGTGGCAAGGATTATTTTCTGCTGTGTATTTATTTATATAGCACATTCACAAAGAGGCCTGAGCTTGTTGGGGCTTTTGGGTGCTGCTACCATATAAATTTTAGCATCAATGAAATGTACTTTCACTGAATGTGGAAGGGCTGAAGGGCACCTGAAATTTGATTGCTTTGCTAACCTTACATCTCTGCAGACCTGTGTTCAAATCCTGTTTAGGTCACAAGTGGAAATGAGTGTGGTGATCTCAGCTGAGTGCCATTTTGTGCCAATTAGGCAATCACCAAATAGAATGGAACAATTTTACATCTCTAGCAGTTTCTGTAAAAGGAATAACCAGGCCTGGAATAGATGGTTGATTCAGTCCAGATTTAAAGTGCAGTGGGAAAGTTTGGTAGCATTATGCATTTTCTCTCCCTGTTATTAATAATGAATTAAGCTACAAATTAGAGAGCGAGAGAGTGTGTGTTCACAAGTGGTAACTCCATTGTTAAGATTGGCATCCCATTGTATTGGGCATTATACAAACAGGAAGACACAGTCCCTGCATGAAAGAACTTGTAGTATAAAAATACGGATGATAAAAGAGTGTTTGAGGTAACACTTGATAAATCAGAAAGTGATGCAAGCACTTTATCAAAACATGTCATAATGGACTTTCATTTACTGCTAGTATTAGTCACTGAAATAGTTTGTTGAGAACTATGTAGGATAAATAAAAACTGTTTTTCACATGATGGAGGATTGAGATGGCACCTAAATTGATTACAGGATTTGCTATACAAATTAACGTTTTCTAGGTTTGTTCTGAAATTATTTACAGAATGCTATAGACCTTGCACTTCACAAAGTACTCAAACAGTGTTCTTGTCCAAGAAACAGCTGCCTATCAGAACTGAGGTTCAAAACGTTATACAGGCAGTCCCCGGGTTACGTACAAGATAGGGACTGTAGGTTTGTTCTTAAGTTGAATTCGTATGTAAGTTGGAACTGGTACATATTGTAGGGGAAACTCTAGCCAAACATTTCTCCAGAGCTCAGTTTTATTCTCCCGCACCTCACTTCCCTCAGTCTTTTATTCTCAAGCTGAGGTGTCTGCTGAGAAAAGCTGTTCCGCGTCTCCCTGGTCTGCTGGGGGGAAGCAGCTAGTGCGGGGTTGCCTCACCCCGTTTGTAAGTAGGGATACGATGTAAGTCGGATCCATGTAACCCGGGGACTGCCTGTACAGTAATAAGCAGCATGGCCAGGTCATAAAGGCTGATTCATGCAAAAAGAACCTCCGGTTTCTATGATGCAGAAACAGGACATATCTGGTTTTTTAACAGAATTCAAATCTTATGTTCTTTGCTTATGTTCTTTATCTTAGGGGTACCATACTATTTTTATTAGAAATTGTTCTTTTAGCTAGAGTCTTGCAATAAAAGGTTCCCTAATGAATTGACACATTTAAAAAAAGTGTGAGGACACATGTATAGGAGAGACTGTGATGGGGTGAGGTCACAGAAGACACCTGGGCGGTGCCTCCTGGACTGCTGACACAGCCACTGCTACTCACCTTCCTGCTCTCTGGGGCTTCTCACTGCCCAGTCCTGCTGGGCCAGCTCCGCTGGTCTCCCTTAGCCAAGGCCCTGAGCTGAGATCACTGCAGTTTGGGACCCAGTTTCCTGGGGTATCACTCCACAAATAGGATCAAATCCACCAATGAATTATTTGGGTAAGCTCCCTTTAGCAATGAGAGGGGGAATGTACACTCTGTTTGTCTCTCTCCCCCCCGCCCTCCCCCCCAGTAACAATCATTGGGTTTGATAGTAAGTAAAAGTGATTTTTATTAAGTACAAGCAGCAGGATTTAAGTGGTAATAGGTGAGAACAGGCAGAGCAAAGTAGATTACAAACTCAAAAGTAACAGAAAATGCTTAGATCATTCTAACACTAAAATCCTCAGCACAAACTTCTTATAAATTCACCCAAAAACCAGGGAAAACTCTTACTTCCCCTGGGGTCTCTGGTTCAACCCTCCCTGGGTGTGTCCAGCCAGCCAAAGACCCAGACTCCTACTTTCCTCTTGTTTTTAAAGATTCCCTCATTGCATGGGCCTGGCCACTCCCTACGTACCTCTGTTAAGCCTTTAGGACATTGCATGTGATTTTCCCAGACACTGAGGCCCTGCTTGATATCTTTCCATTTACACATTTAAAAAACATAAAGTATTCCCTACTCCATATGTCTAATTTTACACACACAAGTCTATTTATTTCCATAAGTCCATTTCATAAAGTGGGAGGGGGAGGTACGTCTCAGAGACCATTCAAATATTTGTATAACATTTTTCTTAAATATATGTGTTTGTTTTCAACCATATAATCAGGTTCATCAGCACCAGGACAGGGGAGAGACCTTCCAATGCCAGCTATGCCCTTTTACCTCCTCACGCCACTTCAGCCTGAAACTCCACATGCGTTGCCATCAGCACTTCCTCAGGACAGAAGCCAAAGTGAAAGAGGAAATCCCAGAAACTGAAGTCAAGGGCTCACCACAGCTAAATAATGATTCCTGCCCTGGGCAACAAAGGGAAGGAGGATCTGAGCTTACAGGAACAGCATCCATGTCTAAAACCCTTGAGATGCCTATACAGGCCAGTGCTGGTATCCCACCTTTAGTAGTAAAAGAAGAACCCAAAGATGACAACAGTATTTCCTCTACATCCTTTGCTTTCAGCACTATTGACAGAGCCACCAACAACACAAAGCTGAAAGACACCTCAGACTATGTGGCCAATACAGCGTCAGCATTATTTAGCCAGGACATCTCTGTCAAGATGGCATCAGACTTTCTCATGAAGCTGTCAGGTAACTGAATGGCAGGCAGCAGCTGCTGCTCCTCCTCACACCGTAAGATACCCCTCTGTTCCGCATCCATTAATTCTTGGAATTGCCATAAGTGGTTTTTTTTTCCACCTGATTTAAAAACATAATTTCCTGTTTGTTTTTTGGGAGGTCACAGTTACTATATTAGGGCACTGAGAATAGCACCTCTAGATTCTATATTAAGTCTGTGACCATAGACAAGTCCTCTTGGGCATAATTTTCAGAAATGCTGAGCCTCCCCAATTGCAGCTAAAGTCACTCAGAGCTATTGCCCAATATCTCTTAGAGAATCTAGCCTTTAACCTTCCGCTGTCCTTTGCCATCTCTTAAATGGGGCTAATAACGCTTGACTCCACTTTACAGAGGTGTGAGGCCTAGTTATTCAAAGCTAATAAAGAATGGAAGATGTTACTTCATTTCCTTGATTATTATCATCAAAATGTTGGTAGCCTAAGAGGCATGTGAAGAACTTCTGAAAACCTTTTGTTTTAATTGAAATCCCTGTTTCATGCAGACCACGCTTCTGGGTTTTTTTCCCTCCCACAGAGTGTTGCCTGCACACTAATTTTATGAAATGGACTATATGTGCCTGTTGTATTTTTTGTCTTCTCTTATTGATTTGACTAAACATTTCAGTTTTGGGAGTATGCCAGCGGTTGGGGGGTGAGCATTTATTAGCAAAACATCTTCAAAGATTGGACTTAAATTTAAAGGAGAGGAAAGTAAAACAGCATTGGTAGAGGGTCAGTTCTGTCTTACATGGAGATGGCAGTCCCTGTGGTGATTTCCATATGCCATTTCTGCCCTCTGAAGACTGAAAATATCCTTTTAAATGGAGAAGAACTGGTCACTGCAGTTCTTTAAGTGGAATGCAACTTGCGTTTCAGTAAATGTCATTGCCAGGTGAATCAGAGGATCAAAGTCTACTCTGATGGCCTTTTACTCAGCGACACTTCAGTCTTGTCTTTTGGAATGGCTTAATGTCCTCATCTGTCCCCAGATCTTTGTATCCCTGGGAGCACAGAGAATCTTACCTGAGAGCACAGATTAGGAGGAGGAGAGATGGAAAATAAAATCTCAGGGGTCATAGAGCCAGTCCAACAAAAAGAAAAAAGGTGAGAAAAAGAGGATTGAGAAGGCAGGGATGGAAATATCAAACAGCTCTCATTACATTTCAGAAGAAGCCACAGAACCCTCTGGATTTTAGATGTCTATGTTGACATTTTTCCCTTTTTTTTTTGTTTTAGAAAAATATTTTTGTTGTTGAGTTTCAAACTTAAACCCTAGAAGAAGCCCATTTTTGTTGTGGTTCTGACAACTAGTTTAGATTAGTGGTGTGGAGATGCATGTTATGCAGTAAGTGGCTCTCTAGACCTCAGCTGTACTGCACTGTAGATAATAGAGCTCCTGATGGCTGCTTAGAGCATGAATTGAGAGCAGAAAGCAAGAGGCAAAACAGCCTGATAACTGAAAAAAACCACAACATTTTGATCTGTTGTTTTTCATGTAGCAGTTGATGGGGAGCTGTTTACAGTTTGGCAGACAATCGTGTTTTCAATGACTGATCTGTTGGCATCAGAAAAAGGATACAACTGTACATTATTCATGCAAAAAGACCCATGCAGTTATTTTATGGTGACTTACTAAAGGTCCTGAAACCTGACTTGTATGCACTGTTTCCTAGCAACATGCTATAAAGTCACTGGGGGAGTGAGATGTATCTGTAATTTTGTGTGTGTGCATATTTGGATGAAAATGTACTGCCACAGTCACCAAGTTTACTACACAAGAAAAGCTATGTTAAAGGGGAAGGAATGTATTTTCCACAGCAGTTGATATTTTGAAACATAATTTAATACTATGTTTAGTTGGTGCCATTACCTGTGCAATATGCATCACTATATAGCAGTAGCAAGCCTGATAAATATTATCTGGGGTTGGTTTTTTTCCTCCCGTTTCAGGCTTTTTCAGATAGTGTATTGAATCCTGTCCTTTTTTTATTAGTTTCCTATAATGACACTATTAACTCTCAGACCTTAACTTTTCAAGATTATAAATCTATTGACTCCTCAATTGGCATGTGACAAACTCTGTCCAGAGAAATTGTCAAGCCACATGTGACTCTTTAGTATGTTTCACCCCTTCTGAAATAAAAGAAATAAACCAACTTGGCAATTTTCAAAACCAAAATCTAAATGAAAAAACCTGAACTACTTTCCAGGTTTAATCGTGTAGGACTCAAACCAGTTCAGTTTAGAAGAATATTTGCAAGATGTTTGGGCCAAGGCTTCCTGGAGTTTTATTTTAAATGAGGCTGGTCTACAGATTTCATTTGGTTAGGAGCACAGGACTAGAGGGGACCTCCTCAGTCACTGAGTCCTGTCCCCAGCTGTAGTAAGGAAGCCAGTCATAGGATCCTCTTCATACCTTAATCATAGAATACTAGGACTGAAAGGGACCTCGAGAGGTCATCGAGTCCAGTCCCCTGCCCTCATGGCAGGACCAAATACTGTCTAGACCATCCCTGATAGACATTTATCTAACCCACTCTTAAATTCTCCAGAGATGGAGATTCCACAACCTCCCTGGACAATTTATACCTTATCAAGCTCTGTCTTAAAACTAGGGTGGTTTGCTCCAGCTACTATTGAAAGATTGTGCGAGACTCTCGCTCCTCTGATAGTTAGAAATGGTCTCCTTTCCAGCCTAAATATATTCGTGACAAGTTTATATCCATTTGTTCATATGACAACATTGTCCTTTAGCTTAAATAGCTCATCTCCCTACCTAGTGGTTCCTCCCCTCCTCCTCTCCTCTCCCGCCTCCCTTCCACAACATATTTATAGAAAGCAATCATATTTCCTAGGAGCCACCTTTTTTTTAGGTTAAATTAACCAAGTCCTTTTAATCTCCCATCAGAAAACAGGCTCCCTATTCCATGATCATCCTAGTAGAACTTCTCTGCACCTGCTCCAGTTCAACTTTCTAGACCATGGGTGAGCATGAGTTCACAATATTTGAGATGAAGTGCTCTGGAACTGCTTTGGTGCAATCCCTGGGAGCAGTCTACATTCTGGTTGGCCCAGAGTCCCAGCCAAGCCATATGCTTGGCTTCTGCTCTGCTACACCCCCTTAGGGTCTCTCTCTTTCATTGGGGTGAAGCTATTTGGCTTCACTGCCTCCTTGGACTGGGCCTCGGAGCCTGCAGCACCCCAATTCATGCCATGAGCTCCCTTCAGTGACTCCACCTAAAATGGGCATCTTAAACACTCACATGAAGCAATGCACCCTCCACCTTCAGCAACTGCAGTGGCTCTCAGCTTGGATCTGAAGCTTAGTGCCCTGGCCCTTGCTACCTGGGGCTGAAGCCAAAGCCTGAGCAACTTTGTTTCATGTGGCTTCCTCTGGTGTGGGGCCCTATGCAGTTGCCCTCATGTTACCCACTAATGCCACCTCTGGCTTTTATATGAAGAAAGGCAGTAGCTGTGGCACAGGTGGGTTGTGGACTTCTTATAATATGTTGGATGGGCCTCAAACAGAAAAAGGTTAAGAATCTCTGGCTTATTAGAGGTGTAGAATACAGTGCAGAAAGACCTTGGTTAGCAGGGCAAGAAGAAGGTTACTTGTTGGTCCGTCCAGGTTAGCCCAGAATCCCAGTGTGTGTCCTTGGCTCTTGCTCTTTTATCTTCTGTTCTTTGTGTGCAAATTGCCCAGCAAGTCACACTTGGCCCCTCCTCAGTTTCATTCTCCAGCTGATCAAACTAGAGATCACCTTAATGGGTGATGCTTACAGAGTAACAGTTGACTGGGACCTGGGAGCAGCCCCCTGCCCATGGCAGGTGGCTCCAGTCCTGCTGCACCCCTGTGTAGGGCTAGCAGCCCCATGTAAAGCTCAGAGCCTCTCCTCCTCCCCCCACCCCCATTGGAGGCCCACCTCTGCATTAATCAGATATACTAGTTTAGCTGGTTAACCAATTAAATGGGATTTTACATACCTCTGTCAAACATGGCTGGTTTGCTGCAGAGCTGTGGACCATTGATGATCCTTAGTTGCTAGGTAGCAAATATCCCAGGGGTTGGCTTTTCTATTGTCTTCATGGACTTTCCAGTGACATGAGCCACAAATTCAAGACAGCTAGGCTTTGGCTACAGCTGAATGGTAGCCTGCCTGAGAGTGAATAGCCCTTTTCCACCTCCGAGATGACCATGAAGCATATAAGAGAAACTGAGTTACAGTATTCATACAAAATATTACAGAAAGTTCCCACTCCATTACATGAGGTCTTTCCTGTGCCTTGTACAATGACATTAATGTCTACTAGCACTGCCTTGCTTGATACATTTCCTAGGATTGTATTTGCACTTTTCACAGCCACATCACATTGATCACAGTCCTTTTGTTTTTACCAGTGCATCCAGGTCTTTCTCCTCTTCTGTTGTTCCTCAAGCTTATTCGATTCTTCCTTTAATAACCCAGAATTTTTCTGTATTGATACCTCCCATATTTTGTTGTCAGTAGATTTCATTAGCACTTGCTGATCTTTTGTGCCAACGTCATTAATTAAAATATAAAACAAGATTGGTCCCAAGATTGATTCTTGAGAAACTCCCCTAATAACCTCCCTTCAGCTCTACAGTTCTCTTTTTCAGTGTTGCCAGTATCTTACCCATTTAAAGTATTTTTTTCTACTAATCCCCATCTTCTTCAGTTTAGTAATTTCTGTTTAGCTTGACAGATATTGATTATAATCATATTTGTTTGACTCTGTGCAGTGATCCAATCCGGCAAATCATTTAAGCATGGGCTTTATTTTTTTGCATTTCCTTAAGTGCAAACATGCCTAAAGTTAAACACAAGCTTAAGTGCTTTGTTGAATCAGGGCAAACCTGTGTTTTCATTTTGTTTTAGTTGGTTTTCTGTACATCAGTTCCATACATAAACCGCGTAGCTGCATTTGTAAGTTAATCTGCAGAGTGTTAGC